ATGACATTTTCATCATTTATATTTGGGGCGGTGGTTGCTGTCCTCTTGTACAATCATTGGTATGAGAAGAAAGACTTAGGGGAAGAAAGTATCCTGAGCAGTATACACAACTACCTTACAGGTAAGAGTTGTTTTCTTTGACCGTTCAACAGAGAATATGTACTCCTCCATAGCGTATGATCCCAACTCTGATGATTTGGAGGTTCATATGTTTGCTCTGCTCATGTTTTGCATTATAAATGAACTTTAATTTTGACCTTGAATGCCGTTCGTTATCTCCATGTCGCTGTTCCTTATCTCCATGTATTTCATTTTATGACGTTTTTCTAATTACATTGTATAATAATACACTTTACAAACCAATAACAACCTAATTTAAAAGTAAGCAGGGAATTTCTGTTTCTAGATCTATGCATACTTTAAACATTTATTTAAAGGGAAAGTAATGAATGTGGTGGACTACATTATATGGTTATTTTCATGGTTTGCGTTCTTCTATTTGGGCATTCTGGTATACCTCGGCATTTGCGCTTGTGTCGTTGAATTGAGGTGGAATCTTTTGTGGGTTTTATTTTTACATTTTCTGTACAACCATATACAACAAGAAATGGAAAAATATTATTTGAAGGATCAGGAGGGAGAAAATAGAGAGATAAACAGCCATTACAGCTACATTATAGGTAAGGTCATTTTATAAATATTCTTTTCGTTTACGAAGATTAACACTGCCCTTCACCTTGTTTTTTTTATTTTTATTTTTAGTGTATACTACATGTATCTGTTCGTTTTGTAAAAAAAGAAATTGGATGCTTACACTTTTAAGGCATACGTCGTTCGTTATCTCCATTTATTTAATTATTAATGAAACTACATTATATTTTCCCTTTGTTTTTATCAAATGCTATTCATAAAAAATATATACTCCTTTCCTTCGGTTAACTTATCTTTTTAATAGTTGGAGCCGGCACAGCTGGGTGCGTTCTTGCTAACAGACTTTCGGAAGATCTAGGATCCTCGGTGCTTATTGTAGAGGCGGGAGGTTCCGAGGACGAACATGAAATGATGAAGGTCCCATCCATGGCAAGAGTTTTGCAAACGACAAAACATGACTGGAATTTCAGGACAGTTCAACAGAAATTTAGATGTCATAATAAGAAAGATAGGGTATCAGAATATTAAAATGGGGATATTTATTTTTCGTTCCCTTTAATAAAATTATAAAGGTTGGTTTTATCTTTCTTGCAGAACAAATACTGAGTTTTTTTTCTCAATTTGCAATTCTATGGAATTCATTAAAAACCAGGTATAACAATGCATAAATGATTTACCTCAAGTTGTTTTGGAATATGCTATTTATTTGGAATATTATAAATATTATGTACTATCTACCAGATGAGATATAAACCACTAAAACATACGACCATGGACATAACTCTTCCTAAAATACACAATTTAGCAAAACTAATGACAGTTTCTCTTATGTCTCTATAAATAACTATCATCGGTAAACCTATAAAATGAAGACCACAGTCAAGACTTTTTATTCTTTTAAATGATCATTTGTTTCTTTGAAATCTATTTTGTAGAAATGTGCGTGGCCAAGAGGGCGTGTCCTCGGTGGTACAAGTTCAATAGACTACATGCAGTACATAAGAGGAAGCCGACATGACTATGATAACTGGGCCAGAGAGGGTGCTGATGGATGGAGTTATAAGGACGTACTGCCGTATTTTATCAAGTCTGAGGATATGCAAATACCAAGTCTGCGATATTCACGTATATTAATTCCCAATTGTTTTCTATATTTCTAAGAAATTATCTCGATTTAAACATGTTAAAGGCAGATTCCTAATGTAATCATTAACTTTGATGTTGATTTGCATAAATTCTCCGCATTAAGAACACATTTTATATTTATTTGTGAATTTATACAGAGTATCATGGAATTGGCGGTCCTCTAACTATAAATAAAGGAACAGCCACATGTCTCAGCGACAATGTGTATAGAAGGGGAATGGAGGAAATTGGATACAGAGTGGTAGACTGTAATGGAAGGACGCAAATAGGTTATATACTTTTCTCTCTCTATCTCTCTCTCATAAGAAATACTATAGATCACTAAATTTTCGCGACACCTTATTTTCGACAAAGAGCACATGGCAGGTGTGACCGGTCGGCAGGGGATGCTCACTCCTCCATGGCACCTGATCCCACCTCTGATGTTTCGGGGATCCGTGTTTGCTCTGTTCTTATTTTGTATTGTTTTATGGACTTTAAAAATGAATACTGTTCGTTATCTATATATCCTTCTTTCCCGAGATAGTCATTGACTCTTGATTAGCGAGACATAATTTTCACGAACAGGGTTATTGCTCTGTGTAATCTTAAGGATTACTATTATACGCGAAATTTAAATTTTCGTGAGCACACTGTCTCGATTAGTAACGCGAAAATAAAGTTCTCGCGAATAAAAAGTGATTTACAGTACAGAAAATGTATATTTGTATTGTAAGTCTATATTTTAGAATTTGTTATTAATGTTTAAATACAAAATATTTACTCATTTAGACAGTCAGGTGTTTTTCTTCCAAATTAGCTGCCTTTTATTCGGGATGGCAGAATTGACTGTATAATATAGATATACATGATGTTTAAATTTTTTTAATTTAATTACTCTATTATTGTTGTAAATAATCTTATATTAATTGATTTTAAAATGATTTGACATAGGACACTACTCACTAAGGTCCTCTCTAAAAGTTAACTAAGTTGTAAAGGGGGAATCCTTTTGAAGTCCAATGTGATATGTTCTACGTAAGAACAAATTCCAATACGAGGTAAATTATTGACAAACAAGTTGATAAAAGAGGAATATCAACAGTCTCTTTTAAAGTCATCATTTCTTAGGTTCTATGGTCGATACAATGGCATTGTCAGCAAATACAATTTATCATTGAGTCAAATGTTGACTGACATTTCTCATACTTATTGTATTACATAATTTATACACTACATTGACGACAAATTTTCATATTATTTTCCAAGTACGACTAGGGGCACACGGCAAGTGTGATTAGTCTAAAGGGGATGCTCACTCCTCCATGGCACCTGATCACACCTCTTATGTTTTGGAGGTCCGTGTTTGCTCTGCTCCTATTTTGTACTGTTTTTTTTAACTTAAGATCTGGAATGAAATTCGTTATCTCGATATCGTCCGTTGTTTGGCATTGAACAAGGGAGAATAACTTCAAAGGTATTTTATCATCGTTTTTATATGACATGAATATTCGTCTCTTTCTGATCAACCCAAGGCTATTGCCCTGGACAAGAGACTGTGAGAAACGGAGAAAGATGGAGTACAGCCAAGGCCTTCCTAAGACCTGCCATGAACCGTCCGAATCTTCACGTGGTAACAAACGCATATGTTACAAAGGTATCTTAAAATTCAAGTGTCATTTTATTAACATTTATAAAGCCTGTTTAAAACCATTGTGTGGGAATAAACAGAGATTATTTTTGAAATTTTGTGAATGGCTCTATGTATACATGTATGATATTTATCTCTATTCCTGTCTTGTTTTGAATTTTGTATCTTTCAAAAACAAGCTTGTCTCTACATTTTTTTTAAATTGCCTAGAACTATTTCTATATATCTATCTTGCCATCAGTGAGCATGGTATTGTAAACTTGTATACTCGGGCGAATACTCAGTACGTACTGAAACATTTTTTTTAAAAACGCAAATGTCAATTGTAATGTCTATTTTAATTAGCCGGCAAATATTTTAAAAAACGTAATCTTCAGCAAGAAGAGCGTAAAAAGTAACTACAAAATCGATATTGCTGAGTTTTAAGATTTGATACGTACACATAATTAAAAGATTTTGTTACCAAAACTCTGCTTAATTTCTGATATTCAGATATTAGTTGAAAAAAGGACGGCAGTGGGAATATCCATGGTGAAAAACTATGAAAAATACAATATTAAAGCAGAGAAAGAAGTCATCATTTCTGCTGGATCCATAAACTCACCCAAAATTCTGATGTTGTCTGGAATCGGACCTGTGGAGCATCTGGATTCATTGGGAGTAAGAAAATTATGAACAGATATTCTGAATTCTTTGTCCAATTTTCATGTTTACCATATTTTAATCCAAATTATAAGAAAAGAAACATTAAAATCTATATAAAGATTAATCTTTGTACGAAAACAAATTGTCAGAAAATCAGCCTACAGGTGTTCTCGATAGCAATTACTTCAAGGTGAAAAAGACCCTTTATTTTGATGTAAGAATCAAATAAAGTGTAATAAAGAATGACGTTAAGGTTTTCGGTAAAATACATTTGATTTTTCTTCTCTTTGGAAGATCTGAGAATATACCTTAGAGGCAAACTGGTATATGTTTTGCTCTCTGCCTCTCTCATATTAATATTTTTTTCAAAGTTTTCTTTGCATCACATGTAATAAGATATTAATCAGAAACATACTATAGAAGCGTACCTACTTTTGATACTTCATAAGTATAGATTGTATAAGGTTCTGCATATAGTGTTATATCTAACTAATATCATTATGTTTATACACCTTTAACAGATCCCAGTGGTTGCCGATCTGCCTGTCGGAGAAAACTTAGAAGATCACATTAATGTACATCTATCCTTCAGAGACAACACAAGTTCAGCGTACATGTACAACCAGTCACCATTTCATTCATTTGAATACGGCTTATCAAAATCAGGTAATTTTATTTTTTAAAAAACATACATGTATTTGAATTGATTTAAAATATTGTGATGATTTTTAGCACTGGGATCTGCATTTGCAATGTCCCAAAGATTTCTTTTTGAGTGAGAGTAACTGTAAACTAAGTTTAATATCCCCCTGTAAAAATAGACTAAAAATGTTGAGTTAGTTCAATCAATTTCGACAATTAAATCAAATTGTATAAACTTTAAACAAAATTAGAAGTATGTTATTATATGAAATCAAGTGTGGATTGAGGGAAGGTTGACGAGACAAAAATCATTCGAAACGCAAATAGCTCTCCAAATGTTTCATTCAACAATCAATTTTTCATTTACATTATTAACTTATACACATGCTGAAATGCCATGTCAGTATTCCAAATGCCCCCATGCGCTTTAAGGCTTCCTCATTCTTCAAATACCTACTAGCCGTTTCGTAGCCTAATGGATATAATCATTTTTTTCAAGGTGGCCCAAAAGGTCGTTGACAGTGTTTTGAAGAGTAGTCCTATTTATTTGCCTTTTATATGTTCACCAAAGAGATGCAAATGAATCGAAATTAAGTCTTGTAAATTGACCATCATTGAGCCCTTATGGACTCTAACATAACTCCACAGAATAAAAATGATAACGATAAATTCGTCCACGAGGAAGTCAAGTGTTATTCTCTTGATTGTTTTCACTGTCAGTCTTTAAGGTACAAAATGGGTGCATATTTCATCGACGTAACTTGTGATTTTAAATTTCCATCAATTTCATTAAGATAAGTTCCTCTTTTAGAAGGTGTAGCGATCACATTCCCTCGCAAGAAAAACGTTTGATTGTTTATTGTTTAACGTTCCATTTGAAAATTTTTCAATTATATGGAGACGTCACCATACTGTAAAAGTATTACATTTAGCTGTGTATTCTTTTTAGCTATTACGGCGGAAAGCAGAATCCGCTAATTCAAGTGCATCGCTTAATGTCTTGTTTATTAACTTTTATGACTAGAAAAGTCAGACAGCGCTATCTAAAATCTACGCAAACTTGTTAGGAATTTAATTTCCGCCAAATATCGTATACACCAAATGTAATACATTTACAGTATTCAGGTGAAAGGCTTCTAATATTTAACTTTTACTCAGAACTTGGGCCTTGAGCGGGGAGGGGTTTTCATTCTACCAGCACCTGCCGTGACATTGGACCTCGAGTGTGTGAGGTATCTTCCAAAGGTCCTGCAACATTCATATTAGAATGCCGAACGCATGGCGAAGTAACAACTATTACCCTGTTGACTTAGGTCAGTAACGGCCAATAGTCGAACATACAACCGTCTTATTACTACCCCTTTGACTTAGGTCAGTAACAGCCAATATTCGAACATACAACCGTCTTATCACGGATCGAGCGTTCTCCCGACTGAGCAACATGTACCGTGACAGGTCAGACGCCTTAGAGAAGCACTTTAAAGGACGACGCTACACAAATACTTTATCATCATTGATTCAAATATTAAAACTGCCTACATTAGAGGATCAACCGCGGATCATCTGAATCCAAATCAGGTTCTGTTTGTATATCGAGAAATAGACATCCATGACGCTCCTTAGTGTTAGATTTCTATAATCAACTTATCTTTATTTTATAACAATTTTCTTTCATTGGACCGGTCACGGAAGCTCAGTCAGTAGAGCGGTCACTATGTGATCGGGAGTTTGTGGGTTCGAATCTCGGCCGCGACGGACCAAAATGGGTAGCAAGTGTGCCTTTGTCATGTGTTTGGCACTTAAATTGAAAGCTTTGGGTCTTTCAGATGAGAGCTTAAAAATAAAGTCCTGTGTCACGGCAGGCGTTGGTATGATTAAGATCCATCACTGCTAAATGGCCCCGATTGCCAAGCAAATATCAACATTTGAAGCCCTTCTTCGGTACATGGTGACATTTCCAAATGAGTGAAAAACTCTTGAATGAGATGTACAACAACAAACAATCAATCAATCAATCTTTTCAGTGGCGTTTATGATGATTAAAGTTAGGTACATTTTAACCTCATTTTGCTCCTTCTTTACATTGTATCAGTAATGATTTGTTGTTCCATTGTGTTTTATAAATATTTCATAGGTCCTTTGAGCAAAACACACCAAGAGGGAAATGCATTTCTCAATGATGATGACAACTTGATTCCATACTTACAACTTTCATTTATCAGTGTTTCAGGAATTTCTCCTTTTATCGATGAGCTAACTGAAATGTTCAAGGTTTGTGTTTGGAATTCTGATATCTTTCTCATAGAAAAATTTCTGAAAAAATGAGATAGGCTCCAAAGGGATTCTTTTCACCCAAAATATTACTGGCTGAATGGCTTTTTTAATTTCTTTTTTTTTTCTTACATTATTTATTGAATCTATTTATCCAGTCATTTATTTTGATCTTAAAGTTACGATTTCTTTGAATTAGGCATGTATATCCATTAAAATCGTCGACTTTGACCGACAAAAGAATATGTGTTACTGCACTTTTAATCGGATACAACATTGAGAATCTCCTTAACTTTATTGCTTGCCGAAAACATTCTATAAACGACCCATGATTATAGTTAATGCATTCTTTTCCTTTCAAGTGTCTAGATCAAGATGCTACATGTACAATGTATTTTTATATGTATAGAAACTTGGCAGTCCTCATAAAAGTTTTGCACATATTCTCAGATCTCATACTTTATAGCAGAGTGGCAGCAACACACCACATGGCTCATTTCTGGTACAATGTATACTTCTTCATCCCAAAAGTAGAGGGAGGATTCAACTTCAGAGTAGTGATCCGTTTGATCCGCTCCGTATAGACCCCAATTACTTAGATCATCCATATGATATGAAAATGCTATTGAAAGGTAAATTTTAAGACTTTATTGTAATGAATATAAAACACAAGTTTATGAATATAAGTTGTTGTTTACACGGAGAAATGTATTCATTGCAAATAATTTGTATATGGGTACATGTTTAATAAATAGTGTAAGAATTTCATTTCTCGACATACCTGACGCACATATACTCTTTTAAGCATATTTACACATAGTCAGGTACCTGCGAAAGTCTCTGCAATACTTATATACAACAGCAAATATTACTGTATACAGGGAAATTTTCGCCCCCGTTTTATTTTCGCCTCTTTCGCCCTTGTCACAAGTGGGCGAATTTAAAACGGGGCGAATTCAAAGAACAAAGTATAAATTCTTAAATAGAAGTGGGACTGGGCGAATTTGAAACGGGGCATAATTGTAAACAAGTGTAAAAGGGCGAAAATTACACGGGGCGAAAATTTCCCTGTATAAAGTATATAAAAAGATTATTTTCGTTATTTTCATTGGCTGAAAGAACGTCAGGTGATATTCCTCCTTTTGTGATGTCGACGCCAAAGCGCGTCCGCTGAAAATGATATCGCACGACACACCGTTCTGTTGCACATAAGTTACGTAGAACGTGACGTCTTAATATAAAAACCGTGTTTTAACTATTGTGACGAAATGACAATCGAGTCTGTTCAGTTAGGACTGTGTCAGTGCATTCACTTTGAGTGATTATATAATATAACTATTATGGACTTCAGCGAACGGTCAATATGTGGTTATAAGGACTCATGGCAATATTGATATTGACCTCAGACACAGGAAATGATAGCGACCTCGCAGGCTCGGTCGCTATCACTTTATGTGTCTTTGGACAATATCAATTGCCATGAGTCCTTATAACCACATATCGACCTACGCTGAAGTCCATAATTGTATAATATCGAATGCTAATTTGTTCAACAATTTAATGATGCAAAAATAAAAAAAATATATTTCTTGGAGGTTTTTGAGGGAAAAAAAAACGACCAGTAACTTTCTTCATTTTTAATTTTACAACTAGCATTTGTCATTTATTCTTCAAAGAACATTTCGAGGCCTGCTTCTGGTTGTATATAAATTTCACGTTCAATCAAGTAACATACGGTTTTCCAATGCCTTATAAGACCATTGGTTCCCTTTAAATAGGAAGGTTCAACAAAACTTTATATTTTATATTAGGAATAAGGCAGTTATTAAGGTTAGCCAATACAACAGCATTCAGATCCGTTGGAGCATCACCATTAGACCCCTATGACGAAAACTATTTCCTTTACTGTAAACATTTTCCATACCAATCAGACGATTACTGGAGATGTAGAGTAGCACTCAACTTTTTAACTATGCATCACACAACCTCCACGTGTAGAATGGGGGCAGCTAACGATAAAACAGCTGTTGTGGATCCACAACTAAGGTATGAAATTTTTAAAAAATACAGCTTTTCGATGACTAAGAAGTTCAGATTCAGGATCAATGTATTCTCATATACATGTAAGTTAATTAACATGGTTTGTTCGAACAACAATTTTATTCTGTTGATTTCAAAAATCTCTTATTTATACTGAAATTTTCGCCTAATAAACCGACGCAACTTTCGGTAAATGTCTGAATATAACCTCGACGTTACACATTTTGCATTGTTCACGCCAGGGCATCATGGTAAGAATTGTCGAAATGTGCCAAGATTTGTGAAGAAGTTTTTTTTTATTTTTTTTTTTTCAAATATTCACTAAAATGGGATTTGAAGTGAAAATATTTCTATAGATTAATAAGATGGTTAAAAAGTAAAGAGACGAAATTTTGAACCTTAAAGAAGGTTAACTGACACTTTCTTTACATTCTAGAAATTATTGTGTGCACTTTTTTCAATGAAATAATGCCCAAAAATATATACCAATCCATTTTTGGGGGGGGAGGGGGGTCATCATTGGTCTTTTAAACAAAAATATACTGTCTTGAAACATAAACTATATTCAGGCAGGGGTTGAAAACGTAAGAGGTGTCTCTGTAAGATTTCAAACTCTGTTATGGTTTGGTACACATGCCCAGATATCGCTTAGATTTAAGAAAGTCACCATTCACTAGCTCTCCATGTATTTCACTCATATGAAGATCGTACTTCTTAGCTTTTTTAACAACATTTAATACTTACAGAGTAAAGGGAGTAAGCAACCTGAGGGTAGTTGACGCTTCCGTCATGCGCCATGTTACGTCTGGAAATACAAACGCTCCAACGATCATGATTGCAGAGAAAGCCGCAGACATGATTCGGGGAATTGATAATGTGAAACCAATTCGGAAAAGACTGCAGAATTATAGAACGTTATTAAGAGAGAGGAAAAAAGGATAATCTTCGAAATATTCAAAATTCTAGATGTGATTGGATTTATCAACATTTGTCCACCAATATGAGAAGTTGCTTTTGTGAATGACACTCTCTTGGTTAGGGATATATTTTGATTTTTAAGTGTCCAGAATCAACGCGTTTTAGCATATATAAAACAGTAAAAAATAATCGAATGTATTCGCAACAAAAAATATCTGCAAGCATTTAGGAAAAAGGGGAAAGCAAAATGGAACAGACTGACAGACAAAAAGAAATACAAGGCAGACTATCAGAGGGACACTGAAATTTACATGTTCCTCTCATTTCACTAACATAGAATAAATTCAATCAGATAACTTATCATTCTGTAAATAGCTTAAGTGTCTTTCATTTTAAAGTTGTTGTACACATAGTGTGATATTCATCAAAAATATGGAGATGCAACCTAATTAAATAACAATTGAAAATGAGCATTGCTTCACTTTTCAATAATGAATAATTATCATCGTTATGTCATAATCATTATTCATTTTAAATTAGGAATAAAAATCTTGAAAAAAAACAACAAACATTTGTTTAAGTGTTTTACTTTTTCAAAATTTTATGTTGTCCGCTCTCTTTTGTAGGTGTCATCATATTACATTTATACAGGTTTATATAAATGCTGTATATGTTTGGCAAAGATTGTTCATTACATTTTACTTTTTAAAATGCATCTTTCACTCCTGGTCGAGAATGTTTTTACAAATGCTTAAAACTCTTTTTGGGAGTAATCGTCCATGCAACACGACAAATTATATAACGATTATAATGTTTACGTTTAAATGTTCGGCGGATCTTCTAAATTACAGAATTAAACAAAACGGACATAAATAAAGCTAGAATGTTTCAGTAATGATTGCAAAAATTGTGAAACGAATCACGGTGGATTTTTAAAGAAATATTTATTTATTCTTATACTATTTTAATTCTGTAAACGCTTCCGTCATGCGCCTTACCTCTGCCGAAAATACAAATGCTCTAATGATCATTATTGCAAAGAGAGCAGTAGACAATCGGTGGATGATATCGGTGGGCAGCGCATGTTCACTCCTCCATGGCACTGATCTCCTATCAACAAAAAATGCGTCAATAATCCCACTGAGATTTTTTATTCTCCAGAAAAAAACAAACATTTGATCACTTTCTACCCCTTATTAAATACTTAATGTATTCTAGTTTTGGTGTCACTTTGTGCGACAGAGAATTGGTTTGGAAGTGATTCAAGCAACAATGATGTAATAAGAAAGGCTGAAATGACTTGAAACGTTAAGTGTTGCATTGCCATTGAATTGACATCTTGCGTGATTTCTTTCAAAAAACTATGTTTACGAAAAATAATTCCTGGATAGTCAATTTGGTACACAAGTACTAAGAATGTTCCATATACAAAATGTTCGACATGACACGGGTCCAAGTTTTAAAGTAGTCAACGTATATCCAACTTTTATTTTGTTTGCCTAGTTAAAATTATCTGCACTTTACCTTCCAAAATGAAACATTTAGAGATAACAAACAGTATTCAAGATCAAAATTCCATAAGACAATTCGAAACTAGGGGCATAGCAAACACGGACCTGCAATACATCGGAAGTAGGATCAGGTGTCATGTAGGAGTTACATCCGCCGTGTGCTACTTGTCATGATCGTGAAATAACGGGAAAATCCGTCGTCATATCAGTGTATAAATAATGAACTAACAATACGTATGAAAATCATTAGTATGAAAAAAGATATTCGGTCACAAAATTTTTATTAATAATCGAGTTCCTTAGAACTAACATTTAAGCTTCAATTACATGTTAGTTTACAGAACTACATTGATAACAACGGAAATATAACAATTTAATAAGGAAAGAAATCCTTTACCATCAAACAAATATAATAATTCATGTTTTTGAAGGGTGTACATTGTGTAAATATTACATCGATAAAACACCAACAATTTTCTCCAAAAATTTTCTTGAAGTTTTTCTTCTAAAAGGAGCTTACTTATTTTAAAAGAAAGAAAAAAAAATTACAATTATGTCTTTTCATACTAGTGGGACCTGACTTTTTTTTTTAATATTCTGATTATTCACACAATACGTACTTGATGTTAATGTTAAAAAAATACTCATAATCGCTGAAAATATGTGTATTTTTTGAAGATCACGCGTTCTCCCAACTGTATAATTGAATTACAATAGGTATAAAGTGTGTAAATTTTTAAAATTGAATAACTAAAAAATTAATAAAATTAACCACCTTGTTTTGCAAACGTCATTTGTATTCAGTTGAAACAGACGTCATTAATTTAAAAATCTATGCAGTACCTGCATCGTTATTCTTTACAGGATACACGATACGATAGGATACACGCATGATACGATAGGATACACGCACGATAGGATGAAGGCAAACCACGATAAACGCAAAACATGATACACGCAAAACACGATAGACCTGATAAACGATCTTCACGACAGGATAAACGCTGACAAGACGAGAAAATTATTTTGTTTAGTTACTGCAATATTTTAATTTGAATACTTGCAAAGCTTCAAATCTAAATTATAAAGTACATTTAATTATTATAATAAAAAAAAAACTTGAGATCACTCAGGTAATTTTACAAAAGTTGTTTATTATATAAAAAAAAATTGACAATGATTAAATGGATTATTATGATTTTAAATTTCTACTCAAGGGTGTGGATTTACGATTATTTGTAAAGTCCGAAATTCTCATCTTAAGGTTGAACTATGAATCGTTTAATTATGGATATTTTAGCATACATGTAATTGTTGCACTAAAATCCTTGCGTAATTATATACCGTTTCTCACGGGTACTATTTCAAATTTATGAAACTCTACAAATAGATTTATTATTATGAAAATATATACATTTAAATTTTTTATCTAATAAATTTATCTACAAGTACTAAGTTATTTCACGGAAGAAATTTACGCAATAAATTAAATATTTGTATTTAATGTCTAAAGCTTACAGTCTGTGATGTATCCAAAAATCGCAATTAGATATTAAAATCTTAGAAAAGAATACAAGTAGGAGACCGGCCGAAAGAAAGGTTCAAAGAAACGGCTTTAACAAAATTAATAAATTTAACATAATAGATCTATCAAGAACTATATAGTTTAAGAAAATGAGTTTCCTGAATAGAAATCTAAATAATTGTTAGAATATGAATCTGCTACAACTGCACATGTACATGTACGTTTAGGCTAAGCTCTGGCTTATGTACATGTAAACATTTACATATCAGATACTTAAAACCCGTATTAAGAAACGAACATTGAATGGTTAAATACTTTTTTCTTTACAATACAAAACATGAAAATTAATAAACAAATATTAAAAGAGTGAAATGTTACTTTTCCGACTAAATAATTATAAATCATTGCTATTAAACTTTGTGTGTACTGTTTCTAATAATAACAAAAAATAGTTTTCAGTCGGCAAATGAATTATTAAACTCTGAAAATTATTTTAGACTTACCCGGTAATCTCATATAAGGCATATTCGAAGGGCGGGATGTTGAAAGTCCGTAACCAATTTAAAATTAGATAAACGAGATCTAACCAAATAGCTAAAAATAATATTGAATTCTTAAATTAACATTATATACGTATGGAATGAAATCGATTAATAATATAAATTGATTCGGTGTATTTACTTGACGAATGTCTTACATGATCACGGCGGAATCAGACGACTTCTTTTGTTTTATTATTGTAGAAAAATTCCGTAAAAAGATAATGCAAGCTGATTTTTATAGTTTAGAATGTTAGAACTATTTTATCCGTTTGTACGATCAATGAAATTGTTTCCTAGAATTAATTCTGTCCGTGATACGCAGAAAACTCGATGATCCGAAAGTTCATGTACCATAAGTGCAGTGTTTTTTTGTTTAAAGTTTATTAAAAGACTTATTTACATAAACATGAAGGAAACATTGTACAAAATGAAATAAATCAGCGGACTGAGTTTAGGGACTTCATTTCATTTAATTGATTTATGTGAATTTTTATTTAAAATTCAAGCTATGAGATGATTTTTTAATCCATAAATTGTACAATTATTTAATATATTTTGAATAAAATCTTTGATAAGTTTGTTCACATAAGTAAGGAAGAAAATCCCGAAAATATGTAGATGCGTTTCATTAGAACCAGGTAGTATTCGAGGTTACTAATTGACTCCAGGTGAGAGAACAGTACAGGTATGTTGACGGTGATCACACACACGGGCCGAGGTGTCAGTTAGGGGAGAAGGGGATGGGGTGTTGGCACAGAAAGGCAGGGTGCTGATTAGAGAATTACACATACATGTACGTGTCAGTTTTCTGGTAAGGAAAGGTCTTCGATTTGACACCCCGATGCATTATAATTTCAGTTTATTTCCACGCCAAAAAGGTAAGCTGTTAAAACATCATGTTTTTCCCTGTATATATTATTTTTAGGTTATCTAATTCCAGAAAAATTCAATGAAAAACTTCTATTTTATAGTAACAGCCATGGTGTGATAAATTGGGAAGGATATTTTCATGCATTATATTTTATAATTTTGATTTTTTTTTAAATTTAGACATATTTCAAGGAATTTATAATTAGCTAATTAAATAGTGATAAAAAATAAATTTGAATATTTAACGTTACAACCAAAATCGGTTTTAAAATCATCTGGATCAATGACTTTTTATTTGTCCTATGCTTTATTATTTTGTAACATCAAAACATTCAATAATTGTGCATACATGCAGATCAGAGTCGTAAACATATTACTAATATTATCAGACGATAAACAAGGAAAAAAAGAATAATGCATTTAAAAAGATACATATCACCCCCCTGCTTATTATTTATTTGATTGCTTTTTGGGTACGCATACACCGCAGCTTACCAAAAATCTTTCTCCAGTAACTCTGATTCATTTAAGAAAATCATATTACTAAAATTTAATTTTGATAAAATAAATCATACAATTCGATAAATTATAAAGAAAAAAAAAGACCAGGCGATCGGTTAAAATTTCATTTCCGAAAATAGAGTTACTGTTTAAATTTTGACAATCACTCTCTGCTTCACCATGATATAATTATTTTATTTATTTATTTCATTATTAATTAATTAAGCAATTTATTGATTTATGAAATACGCTATTTATTTATTCTTTTCCTTCTTCGCTTTAATATTTCTTTTAATGATGAAAAAGAAAGGGATAAAACTTTCTTTTCCCTTTTTCGGTAGAAGTAATCTTATTTTAGTTAAGAAAACGAAAAAGAAACTCGGAATAGCTCAGTAGTTTCTTTGTATAGTAAAGATAAAAAGCGAGGGTTTCCGAATATACACGAGAAACGCAAAACACGATACACGATAGAACCTGATAAACGATCTACACGATAAACGGAAAACACGATAGAAATCGCAAAACCTGATAAACGGAAAACACGATACGATAGGATACACGCACGATAGGACACAATAAAATTGTAAAGAATGGCGATAAGGGTACTGTATAAGTATCGTAAAAACCTCTTGATGTGAGATGCATTTAAACCATATGTCATCAATTAACAATTTAAATTCCCTTTTCATTGCTACAAAATTGGATAATTATCTCTGAACTCTACATGAAAGAGAGCACAGATTCTGACAAATCTGTTTTATAATTTGTTATTTAGTAGGAAAAAAAGATATTGATGACAAGCTAATGAGTAAAAGTTATGATCTACTTTATGACTTCCACTTCCCTTATTATATATTTATATAATGAACTCAGTGCTGAAATAGCTTGGAAACTTAACTTCACATCCTATTTTTCTAACATTAACATCCACTGACTAAGCTAATACTGTAAAATCAGATATTTTCGAGGGGTCAAAATTTCGTGGATTGAGGAAAATATATTGCTTCATGAGGATTTGATTTCTTGGCTGAGGAATTGTTCAGTAATAATATATGTTAAAAATCACATTTTCTGGTGGACATAAATTCGAGGGTCTTTCATACCTTGAAAACCACGGAAATTAAACCCCCAAGAAAATAAGTAATTTTAAAGTAAGTATTTTGATATTAATGATATAGTAAACGTATGTAAAACATTTCAGTCTTGTTGAATTTGCATTTTAAAACAAATTATTTAGAACCTCAGGACAATTTATGAATGCAAAATGTTTGTGTGTTTTCTTCTTTAAAACTCACATACTCATTCTTGTTTCCTTGGAACCTTCGATGAAACATTTTCGATAATTTTGCGCCCGATTTACTGCTTTACATTGATTTAATTTGTGAATAAGAAGCTTCTGTGCACCAATTTGTCATCGAAGAAAAGGAATAAGCTAAATTTATATTTATTTCCTAACAATTCAATTAGATATGGATTGATAACGTCATAAAAAATGAATGAAAGATAAAGATCACGTCCTTGTGTTAATTGATAATCTTATCTCAAATACCTTTTATAAGAAAACGGTTTTGGGAATTTTATAACTTCTTCCATAAGATATATTTTAATGGCTTGAATTGGGAATTTAAAGCAAAATTTATTTGCAAAACTGAAAATGTTAGTCACTTGTATTCGAGGTATAATATTACATTTATATTCTAGCATAAACTTAAATGAAAGGAATGACGTTAATGCTATGAGTGTGTACATCTTTTCTCTTTTTTTCTGTTTTTTCTTTATGCTATCGGGATAATGGAGAATGAATGGTGTGAAATCTTAACATTTGCCCATTTTTTTAATTCGAAAATGTTTAATTCTTCATATAAAAACTTGAAACATATTTTAACTTTATGACATTATGAGAACATTACACCTAATCCGAAAGCATTTTTTATGTATGTGACAAAACATTTGACCGCGCATACCCCTGCCTAATTTGCAATGCTGGACCTTTCCCCTTGGTACATTGTAGAGTAGACTTAGTCGCCGGAGTTAGGTCCAGGAAATCATCAAAGTGATCGAATGTACTGGATACACAATATTTTAATCTTTTTTCAACAGGAATCATAATTTATATGTGTAGTTTTATATATTCAGAACACAATTTCTGACACTTTTTTTCTTCATGATTCAATACTATTTTGGATCCTCGTGGTTTCGTGTTTTGATGCTGTCAATAACTGACCTGTCAGCGTAATTTTTTTTCTCGTTTCATTGATGCTGATGAAAGAAATAAACGTTTTTGCACACCCACCATCACCCAAGCATTTTCTACCTTACTTACTTTTAAATGAGTGAAATCTATATGCTCTACAAAATATATTTCATCCACAACCTTCATATAAACAGTATGTGACTGTTTATGGTGAACGCATAAAAATATGAGAGGCGCGCTATGCAGTTATTTTTAACAAGGTTCCTGTACATTAAAAGTGGTTAATTGACAAATACATCTTTTTGGTATTAATAGAAATTCTGAATATATCTCACTCTTTAACAGTCCCATATGGCGTAGATATAACGAATAATATGGAGATAAGGAGCAGTGTTCAATATCAAAGTCCATAAAACAATACAAAATGGGAGCAGAGCAAACACGATCCTCCAAAACCTCATTGATGGGATCAGGTGCCATGGAGGAGTGAATATCCCCTGCTGACCGGTCACACCTAGCGTTCCATCCTCTACTGGAAATGTAAACAGTCCATAAAAATATACTAGGTGTGAACTTCGTGTTCTCTGATATCGTACTACATATATATCAGAAAAACCATTTTAAAACCGAAATATCTATTCCTGGCTTGATTCCTTTTCACCGCTGTCTTTCCATTAGGATGTCTTTCGTCAGTTTACACGACTGTCCAGAGTCAGTTGTTGTAGAGAAAACAGCCCATTTGGACTTTTTTAATAAAGCTAAAGGAACTCTTAGCACTGAGCTAAAAAATACCCATATGATTAAAGTATCATAATTCGTATTTTGTTAACGTAATTCATTTTCTTGTAAGTGGAAAACAAATTCGGTAAAACGAAAAAAATATGGATATAACTAACAATACTTAGGTTCAAAATACTTCCATTTATCAACACAAATCAGGAACAGTGCAAACACAGACCTCTAAGGCATAAGAGGTGGGATCAGGTACCATGATGGATTGAGCATTCCCTGTCGACCGGTCACGTTATCCATTGCTTTCTCTAGGCCAGTGGTTTGCTTTACTGTGTAATATAAAGTCTTCTTCACAATCTGACAGCTTTAAGTCACATACAACTAAGCAAGCAAGTGCCTTCTAAATGTCCAAACTACGGTTAATCAATTATGGATACGTCTTTCAAAGAACACAAATTAATTATATAAATTTTTGCCATACATTATTCTCTACACTTGGACAGATATATACATTATATCAATTGAGAAACATTCCACCAAATATGCCCAAGAAAATTACATTTTCTGACTTTATTATTCTTTTGGTAAAAATAAAAAAAAACATAAATCAAATATCTTATATATAGAACCATTCAAAAATTTAGCTAAAACAGTGTTAACAGGAAAACAAAGGTATTAATTAATTTTTATTTTAGATATCATCCAGTAATATCTATGCTTTTGCATATAGGATTGTTCCAAAAGGACATTATTAGGTAATGACATGAAATATTGAACAATAATTCCTTCAGAAATAGCCGATTTTTCTCACTCTTTTTCACAAATAAATGGTTTGTTCTTTTTACATTTTGTGTCATCCCAGAGTCCACTTGGACAAAGTTGGACACAGTTGCCATTTCTGCCATTATCGGGCTGACTAGGATGCCAGTTGGAATACATTGTTTTGGTGTTCCCATTCCAGGTAAAATCACCTTCCTTGTCGATATCATTTGCCCCAATCCAACTTCCGCATGCACACATAGAAGTACACCTACCTGAATAAAATGCAATTTTTTAAATTCTGTAAATCTGTGAAATCACATGCATTTTTGTGAGGGTTTCATTTTCATTATTTTCTTGAAGAGACTAACGTATTAGCATTTCCATAAAATGTAAAAGAATATGGGTTTGACAAATAAGAAAGTGAAAAAAAATCCAAATTAAAACACAATTGTTTTTGATATTTCATTTGAAATGAGGTTATTTCTATAATTTGCAACAATCTCTAAGGTCTATTAAATAGCAGGCAAATTCAAAGTTGGTATAAAAATGACAATTTTTCCATTTTACAACCCGATTTTTTATAGGTAGGTGTTACTCAACTTTTAAAATTATATAATTAAGGTATGTGCATTTAAAAAAAAACTTTTTGACAAAGTAATGATCTACGAAAAAAAAGGATACCGAAGATTTTCTTAGACTTAAGATTTTTATTCCTTTAATGGTGAATTTATTACTATACATTGGTATAATAAGGTGTATCAGACAGAATGGTAAATAAAAAAGACATACTTTTAAAATGCCAATTCTCAATGTAAAACATTAAGAAAACGAGTTATAAATTTAGATATTTTTTACCTTATAAGACAAGGGAAATGAATGCAGAATGTCTACAGTCTCTCAGAAAAGGATAAATTATATCTGTTCTTGACTCCTTAAAATCATATATATAATTGAATGAAGGTATCGGTAATACTTATGACAAATTTTCAAAACTGAGTTATCAATTAATTTCTATTATAGCCGCAGAGTACTGGACCAGGATTTAAATCAATTATGACGTCATGATTAATCATTTTGAAAGCTGGCTCATTCTGGCATTTCAATTATTTACATGTTTTGATTTTTTCTTAAATTAATAATCAACTGTAGAACATAATTTACTTTGAGGTATCAATTTCTTGGTACAGATTCATTCGTTTTATCTTGTTTTATTTCAGTTAATGAGTTAGAAAAAAACAAGCAAACACTACTACCAATGTAAACGCTTTTAGTCTTTCTCATGAACATGTTGATGAGTATATACACACCCCTTTTGACTGCGGACTTAGATATGCATGGTTTAGCTTGAGATTAAAAAGAAGTCTATGAAAAATTCAAATGTAACGAAATATATATTATTTTCCTATATGATTCCTGATATTAGTAAAATTCGTAATTTTGTCGCCTTTTTACCCCCCCCCCCCTTTTTTCCACGTAAAACAACGTCGTGTGTTAAGAAGAAAATAAAGTCTGGAGAGAAAATTATTTCTTAATGTAAGAATAATTTAATTTTTAGAAACTAATACAATACTACAATCATTTGTTGATTTTTTTAAAACCCATTGAGACTTATAAAAATATCTAGTTAGATAAATTAAGTCCTATTTTTGTGCTTTGATATGTACCTTTTTTCACTGCAAATAAAGGCTGCCTATGTGAAAAACAAAACATTTCATCATTTATTTTTTTTTTTTTGATTTGTCAATTACTTTGTTTATTTGGGAGTTTTAGTATGTAATTGTATATAAATATACCAAAATGGTCCATATCTTGAAAGTGCCCCATTTAACTACAATAAAGGCAAGGTAACAAAAGAACTTTATTCGGTAATAACCAATATTTGCCCTCCAAATCAAACTTTGATTGAGGTATATTTAATTAAGTTCTTAAACAGTGGAGTATATGCTGACTTCAAAGCACTGAATATTTTCATAAGTAATGACGTCATATGTACGTAATGACGTCACAAACATGACGTAAATTTCAGTTTTTTATGAATTCTACAGAAAAATGTACATATTTCGTCGATATTTTGAGTAAAAGTCACCGAGCGCATGTGTGTTCAGGATCAATATTTTAATATAATGTGTAGAATGATAATATCAATGAAATATGTAAATATTAATCCTGAACAAACATGCGCTCTATAAATTTAAAAGCTAAAATTGTTGAAATTTTGTCCATTTTGTCCTCTTTCTGAAAACATTTCTAAAATTGGACTAGTTTGTGACGTCATAAAAACAAAAATTGTGAATAAACTGCTTTGAAACTATAATATGTTCTGTTAATTCATATTTCTCATGCAATTTATTGAATTCAGCACATTTCATGAAGTTTTCAAAGTGTAACATTTGTGGGGGCAAGTATATGCAATATACCGCATATAGTTCTTTCATTCTAATTTTCTTAGCATAATACATACAAATATACTTCCAAGAATTAAAGAATTCTATTAATCCGTTTTCGTAATTTCCAACTATACTGGGCCTCGTTAAATTCAAAGAACCTCTTTTTTTTTTTTTTTTTTTTTTTTTACCAAAAAAATAGTTCATGGTGAGAGATTCATTTTCTACAGAAGAAAAATTGCCATTATTCCAAAAATTAAATTTGTTTCTGATTTGTAAGAAATTTTATGCATCTTGCACGCATTGTCCGACAATCTTCTTTCAAATGCATAGTTTGAATAATGATTATAGTGATAATAATAAATAAATACTGCTTAAGCCACAACATCAATGTCCCAATATATTCTTCTTTATCCATGAAAAATATTACTCAACGAAAATATTTGACACGACACTGCAATATTAAATACGGTTAAAAGAATTGCAATTTCTTCAAAGGGAAAAAATACTCATTATATCAAATCTTTAAAACTTTACATTCTCACCATGTTTCTTGGGATAAGGAAAGGTCTCCCTGGCCCAAGTATTTTCTATTTCAGTTTCTATTTCCAGTAGGTGGGCTTTATTCTGTTCACAATGTTTCTAAAAATTGATATATGGTAAATCAATAATATGCATGAATATATGGTAAAATAACAGAAAAAGAAAAGCAAAAACTGTATGTGTACATTAGAACTTGTCTAATCAAAAATCTTCCTTTTATGAAATTATTTGTTTAAAATATCGTCAAATCTAGAATGCCGTCTATTCCAATTTCGTATAGGAACCAGCAGTGTCCTGATTAGTTCATTAGATGAAATTAATCACTTTTAACTTACTTTTGCGTTCTCCCAGGTATCTTCCGTCTTGTTTAAGAAATAGCAATGGTTCTCAAAAGGAACCCATCCTGGCTGACAAACTAAGGAAATAGACAGTAAAAAGGAAATATCACATATTTAATGCTGAAAGGCATTGAAGTTTGGAATATTTTGAGAAGTAACTTCGAGAAATTAAATATCAATTTTGTTGAAGAAAAATAAACTTTGGATACAAATGATGGCTTTTTTTTATTCTTTTATAATGCTCGGGTATTTCTTTGTTCTTTTTTTTTCTTTTACATTGTATTTCTTTTTTTACCATTTAGTAATTTTTATGACAATTTTGTTACTGGATGAGAACTTAATCTAGTTTTTGGTCTCAAACCAATTTATTCAAATTAGAAAAAAAGGTAGAAGTGATAAATTGATGTCAGATCCATGGAGAAATTGCTATGAAGAGAAGAAATTTTTCACACATATTTGTCCATTTTAAGAAAGAGACGCCCATTTCTGCGTAACTTAAGGTCTATCAAATATTGTTATCGGATATAGCTATGTTCATTCTATTGTGCTAATAATTTTTTTTTTTATTTTTTTTTTGTATCAGTTACACGAATGAAAAAGTTTCTGTCCAAGTATCATTAGAAATACACATAAACCTTACATTGATACAAAATATGCCTTGTGTTTTACATGCAATTAACTAAAATAGGTTAAGCCATGGCTATTTCTTTTTCTACACATTAATATGTGTTATTAAATTTCATACATATAAAGTCTTGCAACACTATGACTGATTAGTTAGATGACTGAGTTCGGAAACAAATCGGGCTCATCAAACTCATAGATTCTTATATATTTCTGAAAACTCTCATTACCACATGTCACTTTATACAATCATTTTGAATTAGAGAAAAACGATTTAAAGTGTCCAAAAATTGGCGTGGGGTCCAATATGGCACGTGAAGCCATTGTGGGTGTGAAATAGATGCATGTATCTGTTCAGCGTCTCGCCTTAGCAATACAAGTTTCCATTTACAATCTTAATGTCTCTGCTTTTGCCCTCACTGACTGTGTAACGTATCATTCTATGTGCAACAATCAAATTCCTTTGTGAAGATATGCTTCTTCTTCAGTCCATGGTGATAATAAATTCTAGAATCGCAAAGTGGAAATGCAAAGAGTGTCATTAACTACTCGATTGTAGGTTCATATTTGTGTACCAAGAGTCTTACTTGCAAAGCTACATTTGAAAAATTATTCAGATTTAAAATTGACTGCCCCCTCCTTAAGTGAAGGTTAAGTTTAAAGGAACTGACTTGGGTTTTATTGTGTAAAAACTACAATAGGGAAACTCTTCAATTTTACACAATATGTACCTTACATTGACTTCAGTGACATACCAAGTTAATGGAAAATCTCTCGTTGATGTATTTCTTAGGGACCGTCTCAAAATACGGGTATGTTTACTATAGAATTGTATGGGAAAATGCCATTTTTTGCTATTCAAAGGAAATATTACGAAAAACTACAATAGACATTTTGCTCAAATTGTAATATGCGATTAGTAATACTATATTGCATGTAATATGGAAAAAAACACAATGGACAAGGTTTGGTAACGGCCGAATCTGGCGCCTTATTTGATGTTGAAATCAGCACAATATTAAAATTGTGGTAGTTTGCAGTTGAGAACTTTAAATGATGATTATTTTAAAACCAGCACTTATATTTGATTCAGCTTTTACACGGAGGCAGCAAGGGGGTGCAGAAGTAAGACAGTTTCCCAAATTTTTCCAATTCTGGTGGAATTTCATCATGTTTCTCTTTAGGAGACATAGACCACAGTTTTGCATATCTGAGTTTTTTATACATAAAATGCATCTGATACTAGAGTATGAAATAAATAAACTTGGTAGATAGGCAAGCTTGTGCTCTATGTATTCTGAAAAAAAGGTGCTGTAAAATCAATAAAAATTGCATTAAAATGAGAAGATTTGGATTGACATATTTTCTGACCTCTCTTTGACCTCTGTGTATCTCGAAACTTTGAACCAATACTAATTTTGTGGCAGGGTTAACAGCAAATTTTTATTTATAAACTGTTGCATCATTCTAAAGGACACACCAAATCAGAGGGCCAAAAAAATCTTAGCCTATATTTTCCTTTTTACCGTCTGGTTTCCAGAGGGGTAATCTCAAAATGTCAAATTTTTACTCTTTTATGGAGTACTACAAAATATGACAGATAAAAAAGATCTACATAAATTCATTACAGAAATAATTAATTCTTAATTCTTTATGTTTGAAACTTCCACGTCATATAATGTTTACCTTTGTACTTATATTATGTTTCATGACCCCCTTTTAAAGAACTTTGGTTTATCCTAACGTCACAAAAAACTATTACGATGTTAATCTACCTATAGTTTTAAAATTGCTTTAAAATAAGTTATTTAAAAGCGTTTTTAGATTTTTATATCTGTAATTCCTTAATTTTGTCCAATTTTATTAATTTTGTGAAAATAATTGTTTTAAAAGAATAAATAGGCTTTATTTCACTTAAGTCGGCCCCGTTAAATGCTTACCAACATGAAATTCAAAACAATCAAATGTTTTCAAAGTTAAATTATTTGTTCAGGGGAAGAAAGGATTAAAATTTAAACTTCTCATCATTTCTTTTTAAACTTTCAAAGAGTATTCTTTGTGCCGAGTCAAATTGATTTCTGCAAAAATCACATCAATATTAATGTCTGTTGGGGGGATGATGTTGTTTCTAGCAACAGGAAACCTAGACACCTAGAATTTTTTGCATACTTTGTACCCAAAAAATACCTACCATCGTTCCGAAACCAGAATGTCCACCCCCTGGCAACCTTTTTCCTTTTCACCGACTTCTCATTAAGGTGGCATCTCATCAGTTTACACGATTGGAGGTTGGTGTTGTATAAGATTCCGTTACATTTGGATTTTTGCATAAAGCAATGTAAAGCACAGTCTGCTTGACTTAATTTTTCGATAGAGTCAATGAAGTAAAGATCATGTTTTGGTAATAGATTGTCAAAAGAAAAATCTCTTATCAATCGAAAACCATACGATGGAGGAAGGAAGCATCCACTGAATACGCTTAAAAGTAGAAATAAGAACTCCAAGGTATATCCTTTCCACATATTCCTATCTAATATGATTTTTTCTTCAATTAAAACACTAAATACTGATTAACATATTACATAAAAACTGATTTAAAACTACACATGTTAAGAAAAAAATAGTGAACATAGCACACACATTCAATTTCAATAGTTTTCAGCTATAATGCTAAAGTGTATTAAATCCATAAAGGCGCAAATAGGTGACAAGCCGTTGATAAAAAACAATTAGGTTCTTCTATTGTCCGTCATATGCTTCATTAACCTCACTGGTTCATTTCTTCGAGTTCATAAGAAAAAAATTAATTTTTAATGCTTTTTTTCATTTTTGGAGTTACTTTGAGCCAAAGAGTTCTTGGTTAGAACTGATTACAGCGATAATGAAGTAAAATTGATTGATATAATTTAGCTGAGTAAATTGTGCAGCGGCTTTTCAATGTGACATTGCTGTTTCATAATAAACTTTTTAACATATCAATAAACCATCTGATAAGTATTATTTTTATTTATTAAATATGCTCCAAAATGAGTTCTCCAAAATTTGTAACCTGAACAATTAAAAAGATTTACCATAAGAATTTTTATCAAACACCACTCTCTGGAGTCTTGTCCAAATACCTGGTAAGGTACCTTAATTTTTGGTGAGGACACTTGTTTAAGCAGCAATACTTTAATGAGAAATTCTTACAAAAAATTATTTATTTTCGAGGAACGCAGTATTGTTAAGGCTTGGATAAGGGGGCGGGACCTAATTTAAACGGGAAATGTTTACTGTGACGTCACACAAAAATGGGTACAATTTGTATTCCTCATGATGCTAGAAAATTAAATAATTTGCAATTTGTAAACTGTATTTGCATAATAAACAACATCAAAACTTATCATTGCATTAAAACCAGTTGCTAGTTAAATCCCAGTAACAGTTTATAAACAAATCACTGATCGCAGCAAACTTGTCGACATGGTGTCTTTTTGGTAAAAATGACGTATTTTATGCACTGTGAGAAGTATATCAAGTTTTTTTCTG